GACGGAATTGCGAAGTTGTTAGAACGCTTTCTGGGAAAGAAGGCTATTGTTCAAAATTCGAATCCAGATGCAGACCAGGAGCCTGAACACCGGACCAGAGTACTTCACGAGTATCAGGGCGAGTTTGTTAACCTTTCCCCATCTCGGAAGGTTCCGCACATACGAATCTGATCATAAAATTGTGGAATTCCGCTTGTAAGCGTTCGTGGGAAAGTATGCTTACAAGCTCTGCCGCCCTCTGTGAAGCTCCGCTCTGTGGTCAGTTGGCGAGCTGACCAAGATCTGACTGACTGACCGACCGACCGACCACAACGGGAAAAGAAGGTTCTGCTGACGCTGCTGGATGCCCCTCGAATCGAACTGACGGCCAATCACAACAGTGACGCGCGTTGCTTGTAGACCAGAGAAAATTTAAAGAACTAAAGCGGAACGCAATGTCGTGAATATTTCAAAAGGTACGCAACTGACAGCTCAGAGAGCGACGGATCTTCGCCACTCGACCTTCCTGCACACGATCGTCCGCGCATTGATTTCGCTGATGTTTTTCGATCGTTCGGAACAGTCCGAAATTCGCGGGGTCCCGCGCATCACTTCCAGGAGAAATCATGTGAGCATTCTAATCGCTATCGAATGTTTGATGGGTTTCGTACGGATAAGAGGCCCGGCGGCGCCGACTGTGGAAACTGCGTGTCGGCCTTGGGATTACTTGTTTTCTGACCATGATAGCTGTTGCGCATCGATTCCCTATCCGTCTGCCCATTCCACGTGCTTACTAGTAGAGCCGGATAGTCTTGTACTGGCACTGAGATGGTTCTATGAAAATGAGCTCGTCGTGCATGCTCCCCGTCATCAATAAGGAGTGCATGTTCGCGGTAAAGCCTTGTGCCGAGTCATTAGTGAGAATCATCGTATGAAGTCCGGCGGGCACACGCGGGCCGAGCGAACGGGGAGGCCGACTTATCCATCTATCGATCGACCGATGGTCGACGTCCACGAGGGTCCCAGGTGTAGCTATCTATTCGAAAGCGTTCCGTCTGCTCCTAGCAGTGCAACCGCACTTGCATCCGAAAACGAGCGTCCGTCGACCAGCTAACTCTGTCGATCGAAATGCACTCCGATCCGTGAGTTCCGCGCGTGAAGTTTCCATATACCGCATCCCGTATGCAAACCATCAGTGTTTTGTGGCCGACAAGAGGCATTCCCGCGGTCCGCTAGTGTTCATGATTAGATCTATTCCTGGATCCGTGAGAAAGTTGTCATTCTGAAGGTCGGTTCCGCGAGTCCGGGCATCCTTCCACACTTGATTTTCAAGAGTTCAGCTGACTGGGGAAGGCACCATTCATCCCACCGACATCGACGGCGCGAGTCGTAATCATAGCTCAATCGAGCCACTGAATGAAATATTCAATTAGGTAGTTGACAGATTGGGCTGTTTTACACCCGAACGAATCCTCAATGTGGTACCAGATCGGTGATGGCACCACAGTATCTCCTGTTTTCAACACCAGATATCGCGGCCACTGATGTTGGAAAGGAGACTGACTGATTGATCTCCTGTCAGCAATAACTCATCCAAAGTGGAAGTTCTCTTGAGGAGACTTCGATGATCTCGGCATATCTGTCGGGGTGGTTCCGAACCTCGTCAGCGCTTCATGGATGCGGAGTCATCCGAAGGAATTTCCTCCGCCGTGTTCCAAGGCTTTGAGCACGACGAAATGACTAGCTTGAAATACGAGCGATTCCCCTTAGAGGCCTCAATATCAATCTCTGGAGTTTGTTCAAGAAAGTGTTACGGCGGATCGGCAACAAACATTGAGTCAACACGTCAAAAGTTATTGAAGCATTTGGCGATTAGCCTCTGCGTCGAGCGGAAACCGAAGCTACAGCTAGTCGAGAGAGATCCTGGAATTTTCCGTCGAACTATCGTTTCCATCGACTTTTCGAAACAGTATGGCGTGTCCTAGACGGCCGAGCTCATGAAGTTTCCGCTGTGAAAATCGTGGTTATAATAAGGGATTAGACCATAAGCAAATATTTCGCCTCTTCGAAAGATCCAATCACGGCTTTTTCCTCGCGCGAGAATCGTCGACTTATATCCGTGAGCGGAAGTTATAGAACCTCCCCAAAACAACAGCGCTAATTGTTTGTGAACGTTCTCCGGAGATTGAGATCGAAAACACAGCGACGTCGCTGTGCAGTCTCAGCAGGATCGCCGTCGGAGGCCATTGATCGTCGACGACGATGAGCCCTCTGTTCCATCATAGCTTGAATGTGTCCCAAGGGAATCCTGAATTTTCGGACGACATTATCAGTCACCTCGCCCGCAACGCTGCCGAGCTGGTTCACGGGAGTTCTGTTCTTCATCGAAGCTTCGTCTCGCCGCAGCTCCGATTGACCCTGGCCCAGAAAAACTCACGGACAGCGTCTCAAGGTCGCGAAGGGTCCCCTGCGAGTAGAATTTTGCTCGACAGTGACCATTATTCATCTCCCTCTGGATCTTCCACGTAACCGTCGTCTATGAATATTTGCGGGAAAAAAAGTTCCTGTTTTCTGAGGGAAAACTCTTCAAGGGGCTCTTTGATATTGTTTCCGTGATCTCAACCGAACAGACGCGGAATGCCTGATAACGCGAGTAGACGACCAAGTTCGATCGATAATGCGGCAGAAATCGCGAAGCGTTGGATGTCCATGCATCATTTCCGAAAGAGTATCCAGCTCTCATTCAGTTCGTCGGAGATGACAGGCTCAGGTGATCCCTCATCGTACCGACGATGGGTCCTGGAGGTATACGGCGAACCCAGCCATCCATTGGTGCTGCGAGACAAAAGATCGATTCCATCCATCTGCGGTAAGATATCATATCATCATGCGAAACCGTGTCAATTAGCGCAGAGATCGCGAGGGCAGTCGAGTCGAATTCCGATCGGGCCAATCGGAATGTAGCCCGGTGAGTCGGTGAGCCGTCAGCCACCGGAAAAAACGAACGAAATTCCATCTGCTCTTAGTCAGCTTGACTCGACCGTTCGCCGATCCGTCGCTTGCTCGGTTCCGGCATCATTACGAGCAGACGCGCGCATTCTATTTTCCTCCTTTCCATTTATGTCCGCTCCCGGAGGGGCGAGAGAACACTCCGGATCGAAACTATGCCGCATCGCAAGCGCTTTGAGAATTGGGGAAAGACAGGTACGATATTCATACACATCCCGAGAGAGTTCGGATCTCTACTCGACTCGCAGGGGCCGCCGTATATTCGCCTTCTCAGAGGTCGAGGGCAGGGGGTTTTCCGATCTCGAGCTCCCAACCGAAGTCCCGCCGTTGATCCGGTGTTGTGACCAACGATGGTCCAAAGTCACAGCTGCCGAGAACCGCCGCCGCGACGCCAGGCTGATGCGAGGCTTGTCTGGATATCCAAGCGCTTCGTCCTTGGAATCTAAGCGTCTTCTGTTGTTTGGACTGCCGTCAGACAAACGCGGAATCGACGGGAACTGCGAGGCAGCATTGTGAGGAAAAAAATCTCTACGAATCTGTCTATCTGGCTACACGGTCTGACCGGCCTGTTGCCTCGATCGGAATGAGTTGGAAATTTCTAAGACATTTGACGTTGCGAGGGGGAGCGCGGGCCCAGGAGATGACATCGCATACATTACGGATTCCCCGAATCCCGATCTGGACGATGCTCGATCAACGATTCATAGATTCGCTCTGAAATCGACGAGAAACTCCGAAATAATGACGACACGAGGCCGCATGAGCGAAACACACGAAATTGAAGTTTCGAGATGCGAACCCCAGACTAGTATCGATGGCCCCGGGTCCGGGAATCGAGAGAAAAATCGGGATGGAAAATTCGCGTTGTGAACCAATTCTTGCCTGACATCATCTTGTGCTCGTCGTCCGACCCTCACTTAGATACAGCGAGTCCGATCGTTTAATTGGAGTGGCTCTTGTATCCTGATGAAGAGGAAAGCTAGCGTCTTTATGGAATACAAGCTGTTTGATGACATCCTGTATGGGAATGTCCTCGCATGCTCCTCGAGGCAAGGAGAATAGGATGTTCGGTCTGACCTCGCGGGAGAGACGTCCTGAAGGCATCCCGACGGACGCATGACACTGCCCAGGACCTGGGGCGGACCACTCGGCTTCGAATCGATCAAAGTCATATGCGCCCCGAATGAGAGCGGAAAAATAATCCGAATCCTTTTCTTAATATTAGTCATCGGAGGAATCCACTGATAGCGTCGGTGACGCGCCGACGTCATCAAGATGTACATAGATTCTCGAGAGTGAGAGGACTTTCTTGTCATCGTCGTCGTATGCCTCGATGACTCACCTTCGCGGCGGTTTATTTGAATCACTATTCGTATGAAGAACTTTGGTCTTCGATATTCTCTCGGTGAATCGTCTTTGTCAGCCGAGGAGGATAAAGCGAGAGAGAAACCGAGTCAGCGGATGAGTTCGGAATAATTTCGTGTCCGATTCTGGATTTCTCTTCGGTGACGTAACGCGGAACGCCTCCTTTCTCTTCAAGTCAGGTCTACGCGCTTCGGCATCATAAAGCCATGTGCTGTTGTGTTGTTTCGAATAAGAACGTGCCTTTCTCCAAGTGACAATCACGGTCTGTTCTTCGATTTTGTTGCGGGACTCGCATCGGGTTTGAGGACGCCTCGTGAGCACACTTCGCGTAAAATCCGCAGAGCGTGCACGAAGAACAATGGTGAGTGACGAGTATCCGAGGGAAGACTATCGGTCCCGCTTTGGCGCCACTCGAGTGCCTCGGCTCCGCAATGTCCGGAGATGTCAAGGAGTCATCGCAGCGAAAGCTCGGTGCGGCTTAACGTTGGTCAAAACTCGATCCCTGCAAACTCGAAAGTTTCTGCGGAAACGTCCGCCGCCTGACGCCTGGTTTCTGTGTAATAGACCGCCGACGTCGTTGTCGTCGTGGTCGTCCTGCCCTCTCCATTTCGACGTTGACATCCTAGCGGCCTGTGTGTGCCTGACACAGAGCCTGACGCATTAGTGTCGTTGGTTGTGTGATCGTAGAAGTAGTAGTTTGCGTAGAAGTCCTTGTAGTCGTTATCCGCTCCCACCTGACCGAGCAGTGTTTCGGAATTCCGTGTACGGTTCCGAAACCCCGAGCGGCTCTCCATACGCTGCCCGTGCCACTGCCAGTTCCTCTGGTTGTGTCCGTGCGTGTCTGTCTGTCTCCCTGACAGTCGGTTGTCTGTGTGTGTAAGAGTGGTTTGAATCGGTCGAGGTGAGCGGCTCTCCAGAGAAAAGCGCCGAGCGCTCCTCTACGAAGCTCGAAAGGAAGTGCCTAGGTCGAAAGGCTGGTTCGATTGCCAGAGATCCACTCGTTTCTTATCTTCCAGATCCAGTGAGTACACCGGTGAACCGGTTTTTACCCAATTTCGACTATCAGAGAAAAATTTGGGACTGAGCGTTCGACAGACCACATTGCTCGTACCAACTCACGACGAGTCCGCGAACACCTACGTTCGCGCGTGGGTATTCAAGGCCTGAGATTAGGTTTCTCTTGTCGTCGTCTGCTTTGTGGCGATCACAATGGAAGTTCATTTGAATTGAGAAGATAAATCGTCGCGATTGAGATTCGTTGCCGATAGTCCCATGGCTTATTCGACGCATTATTATCAGTCATGATTCTCGAAATCCGAACCTTATCCGGTGCTGGCTTTATCGAAGCCTTCGGAGATCACGGGCGTTTCCACGGAAGGAGTTTCGACGGGCTCTGCCGTGCTGTGACAATAGGATAGAGCGACTCGACTCTTGTTGTAAAGTACGCCGGTGATGCGTCATTCCCTCCACCTGACAGCTGTATCGTATTTTTCCGTGCTTACAGCTCCCGGATCAGAAAATTTGATTCAGCGGTCGGAGATAAGAAGGAGTACCGATTGGAAAACTATGCGGCGTAGCGGCTACTTGCGTTTCTCTAACTGTTGTATTGTTAGCCCAGAGTACATCCCTCTGACGAGATCATGATCGAGCGCATTCAGCTCCCGCCGGATCATGGATTCCCGAATATCGGGGTCAGAAATAGGAAAATTTTGCGGCTAGTTTTCCGGGAGCGGAGCTACTCCGATTAAAAACTCGCCACCGAGTACGGACGCAGGTTGTACAGGATGGAAAAAGCCTGAATTTACATCGGCGTACAGTCGTAGCACCGATTGACTGGCTGACAAGCGACGAACTCCTCCTTCAATCTGACTGATGCGGAGTTACTCGACGCGGGTACTCACAGTTTCTGAGCCGCGCTCGGTCAGGTGCGAGCTCTGTTTTTTCCAATCCTCCCTCTGGATTGCAGAACCGTTGCTGCCTGGCGCCGCCTGCAACGTCAGCTCTGAGCGTTCGAGAGCGCGTCATGAGCTGACGGAGCATTCCTCTCATCAGTCGGAGCAGGCTCGGCCCTAGAGACATCTGACAACTTCGCTCAGACGCTTCCGTGGCAGTCTGAAGTTTTTTTTCTTGTTCCGTCGTCGATGGCCTCCGGACGGCGTCCGTGGACATGCTCCGATCCGACACATAAGCTCATCAGAAGTCTCGAGTGACGCGAACACATACATGCTTCGAACGGAATATGGTACCGTTCCGTCCGCCAAAGAGATGTTGCGAGTTTTCACCGATAGCTCAGTCGCCTTGATTGTTCCGAAATCTGAAATCATATTAGCTAATACTCGCCTTGGATGACGGTTGCTCGATCGGCATCGATCGATATCATCCTGCTCCCCTGATAAGCGAAGACTTATTTCACTCTCACCCAGGCGACATTCAAAAAGTTCAAGGGATCGAGCGCTCGATCTTATCCTTATGCTATTTATCGGAAGGATATTCCGGAATCAAATGGAAGCTTGAAAAAATACTTTCTCGAACAGTCTGATGATGAAACATGGTCGTTTAGTGCCCGAAACCCCAACCCCCTACACGCTCCGCTGGGGCGAGATTCACGACCTGGATTCTAACTCGTTTTTTTCCTTTTTCCAGGTTAAACCCTGTAATGTCGTCGAGGAGTAGGAAGCCAGATTCGTCGAGTCCATTCGACTTTTTTTTGTTGAGTGCAGAGGGTGTAGGCTGTGAGAGTTGCCAATGTCGTCTCTGAACGCGAACCATTCGCTTGGAGGAGAACCGCTGTGTTGTAACGGCAATCAGGAGAAGCGGCCGTTACTCCGTGGTGAAGTTCCACAACCGGCCTCGACAAGCGTTATATCACGTAGAGACATCGCCTCAGACGGAACCACGGCGATCATACAGATTCCGTTGCCCGCGCCGGAACGCGCGGAGCCCCGCTACAAGCCCGAGAAGTTGAAAACGCTCGTAGCGTTTCTCTGGTCGAGCTTATGCCTCATAGCGAACCTGTTCGTGCTCGCGTACATCCATGAACGCGTGCCGCCCCGAACGGTGGCTCCGCTGCCGGACATCTTCTTCGACATATTCCCGGTCGTGGATCGGGCGCTCGATGTGTCGGAAATCATCATCATCGCATCTGTATGGACATGTATACTGCTTATAATTTTGCATCGATACCGATGGATCGTCTTCCGCCGAGTGTCCATCATCATGGGCTCGCTCTATGCGATGCGTGCCATAACCATGCTGGTGACTCAAGTGCCTGTAGCGTCGACTACGTACTTCTGCTCGCCGAAAGCGAACTCGACGAGCCTGTCGGTAATATTCCAGCGGGTGCTCAAACTCTACACCGGCTTCGGCTTGTCGATCAACGGTCAGCACACTTACTGCGGCGACTACATTTTCTCGGGACACACACTGATCCTCACGATGTGCTTCTTAATCGTCAAGGAATACTCGCCGCAGCGATGCCGAATCCTGCACATTCTCTTTTTCTGCACGTCCTGTACGGGCGTATTCCTCGTTCTACTCGCTCGAGGCCACTACACGATCGACGTTATTCTGGGCTACTACGTCACGACAAGGGTTTTCTGGATCTACCATAGTCTCTGCGCGAGCCAGCTTTCGACTAAGGTGAGTGAGCTAGAGCGGGTCTCTGTCAAACCCAACACCGCAGAGCGGACGGCAGGCAGCGACTCGCGGAGCGGTGGCCTGGGCTTGAGCAGCTTCCCGAGAGCATGCAACGGCGGTGAGAGAACGGAAAACCAGATTTTCGGTTCGGTGATGCCTCCTGATCTGGGCGAGGCGACATATCAGGGGGCTCGGGATCCCCCTCACGATTCAGCTCGAATAGCGGCAGATAATGTCGACAGACCGAATGCTCTGGACTCGCTGTCGGAACGCGACGACGAGGTAAAGTTGCTTGGAGTGCGTTTCACCCTTGTGACGTGCATTGATTGACTGATGTTCTGTCCAACCTCCCCCTTGCCCCTCCTAACTCAAAATACTTGGGTTTTGAATTGATTCTCCTTGGAATACTTCCGCCCAATAATCTGTACGGCCTCTCTCCTCCCTCCGTTACATTCTCGAAGTGTCCCATGAGCCGGACTCTGGAATTCCTCAGGAATCCGGAATCCTCCATCCTCAGGGTGAATCTGAAATAACTGAGGCAGGCGGTCCAGAGGATATCGCAGGGAGTTCCGGGCATTCTCGACCCGTTGGGAATATTCAAGCTCTACTCCCGCAGCACCTTTCCGTCTTAATTCAATTTGCCCAGTCCTGCCTCCTGATTCCATCCTATCCTAAAGAATCTGATCGCGAACAATTCCTGGTGCGAAACCCACGAGCCGCGATCCAGGAAATACATACTTTCCTCCTTCGCCTCTTCAGATGGCTGCGAAACTTCTCCCCGAGTTTCTCTGGACTGCCTCGCTTCGGGACCTCCATTGACGGGACCTGGGGTCTGAAGTGATTTGCGGGAGTTCATGGATGACTGGGCAACAATTTCTTTGAAAGGATCTGCCCCCCCTCCCTGGGGGACTACAGTTGTCGCTGCACACTGGGAAGATAATTATAATCAGGCTCTAAGGCGGCAACACCCGTGTATTGAAGAAAATCGGAGATTCTTCTTGGCCGGGAGCTACCTGTTCCCGCTCCTTCTTTCGAGGAGACGCTTGCGCCGGCAGTATAACAATACAAAGAAGTGGGCCGTCCTTAGTTTCCGCGTTCAAGTCCACCGTGGTGAAAGTCGAACCATTTACGGATGGCCGCAGAGAAGCTATTCGCCAAGCGTAATGCTGCGAGAGCGTAACGACTCTGCCTGATCCCCGTTGATAGACCTTCGATAAAGGCTGAGCTCTCTTGAGGAGAGAACAATGAATTTGTGGCTGTCATCACGTAGATATCGGACGAGATGACCTTATGCCTGTCCGCCTGACTCTGGGTTGTAAGCGAATGTTTGCGGGTATAGATTCGGGTCCAAAGGACCATCGACGGCAGCTCCAGATTTCGATGGGAATGCACGAAACGAGCTGCACGGTAGAGGGCATTCATGTTAAGAAAGCAAACGGAAGTCGACAGAAATATTCGGTGGTCGAGAAAGGAGAGAAGGGTGTCGTTTTCACCGTTGGAGTGTGAGCAAGAGGATTGGTCGGAGTTCCGTGATCGAATCCGGGATCTAGATTGATGCAAGAGCCTCGACACGAAAGAGGTAGCCATCGGGCAGGCTCATACGATGAGCAGGAGCAGCCGGAACCCTCGAGTAGAGTCGTTCGTGAATCTCGGATCCAATGCGTCTGCGGAATTGTGAGAGCGCTCCAAGCAGAACAAACAGTCGGACAAATTTAAAGTTGGTACGCTTGAGCGGGGGCTTTCCCTGCACAAAGCCTTGTCAAAAGCTGCTACTTGTACCGTAAGTGGATGGTAGCGACCTTGGCCGAGGGGCACAAGAGGATTTTGTTCCGAGGGCGGAGTCGTAGGGTGGAGCGGATCCGCTTGAGTCTACTGAAAGACTTCTCCGACGGCTTCAACCCACTGTTTCTTAGAGTGGATGGAGCCCATGCTTCATCAGAAAGAAATCATGGATGCTTCCTCAGTGTTTTGCACCCTTCCCGGCAGACCGGCCTATTTCTTCCTTCGAGTTCGCATCATGAAAAGCCTCCGTGGTCGACTCCACGTGCGGAATCGCAACGCCTTCGGCTTCTGATGACAATGAAGACTAAGCCCCGACCTAATTCGCACAATTCCCAAGTCGATGACGTTATTATCGGCAACTTCCCACTCCTAAGTTTCTGGCGAGACCCTCGATCCCGAGTTCGGGTGATCGGGGAGGGGGTCCTCGAGTCGGACATGAATTTCTTCCTCTGCCATGAGGTGTCCGTATGCTCTTCTTGTTAAACGTTCTGCTGCCTAATCTTATAGCGGAGCTATTGGGGGAATGCCGCATTACTTTCGCGAATTTTTCGTCTTGGAATTGTTAACATTTCTCCATCCGGGAGGCTGTTCGCGGTAGTGATTGCTGGTGAGACCAATCGGCTGGAGCGAATAGAGCGAATTCCCGTAGGAGTAGCGCACCTCCGATGTTCTAACGAGGGAATTCGTTTTTCAGACCCATCTCTCGTCGCAAACGGCCGTCAGTTATCTCAGCCGGGTATGGTGGTACCCGCTGTTCCTCTACTTCGAGAAGAATGTCACAGGCCCCGTGCCGCGGCAGTACGAATGGCCTCTGCCCTGGCCTCGGAAATGGCTACCACGGTCGCGGATCTCCTAGCACGGGGGATGTTGCGGAGGCCGGAATTCACTATACCTCGTCGAGTTTACCCATTGCAGTCGCCACAGCAGCAGCAGCAGCAGCAGCTCGGCCAGTGTCGGACCGGTGTTGGGAGACGAGACTGTGAGGCATTAGATCCGTTGATCGGACCTCTCCGAGACGCAGGTCGTCGAGGACACAGCAAACCAGACTCATCCCTCCGTCGCGCTCGACTCTGGGCGAGAGAAGAAATTGTTAATTTCCTCCGACCGAAGAGTTTTTCTCGGAGCCCAACAGCTCAGACACGGGCTGGAGCTCGATCGAGAAATAATTAGTGTCAAAGTAGCCCAATCTGTACAGAGAGACTCCTCATTGAAGTGGCCAGTGAAAGATTGAGTGAGGTCGAGGTGCATCCACAGCTGAACAGAGCCAGAATAGAAAAGGATGCGTGAGCATGTAAAGAAAATAATTATTCAGCGCTTTCCGTCGCTCGACGGCTCGCCTCGGAACAGCTGTTTGTTAATGACCGATGATCGTCTTATTGGAGGAGCAAGCAGATGAGACGAACCAACGGAGTTGACTCCTAGAGGAAGACGAACAACGGAGGCGAGATCTCGGCAGAGAAATAATTTTTTTAAAGCTCGTCGACAAGAATTCGTTCTGGAATTCGATCTTGGGGCTTATCGATCATGAGTTGGCGGCAATTATGCAGTGAGTCGAATCGCGCGGGGAAAATCCATTCTGAATGCATCCGAATTGTCGATTGATGTTGGAACATGAGCGTGCGAGCAAGATAGACCCCAGTCCGAGTGGACCCGACGAATAAGTTTGTGCGATTATTGTCGAACCCGTGTGTCTGTTGAAAAACTGATCGATATGCATCCGCCTTCTAGATCGGGTCTTCACTGATTCTCCTAGAAATCATCAAAAAATCGACTGACATAATAATAATATTAATGTTTTTTAATGGAGCTGAAATAGAGCCGACAGGATTCCGTGATATCTAGATCATGTTGGAAAAGCTCGCGCGTCTTATTTCCCCTTTTCTGTGCAAGCAACAAGCTCGAGTTGGACGACCCTGATCTTTGCATCAAAATCTGGGCTAGTGGCAAGGCTCCCCTCAGAGCTCCAGAGTGAGAAATACTGTTCGATGTTGTTGTGCAGTGTTGAATGGAACCAATTCTAGATTATTTGCAGTTCACTTGGAAAGTTCCTCTTGATGAGAATCCTCCGCTTCCTGCGATCGGGGAACCATCCCTCACTTGTAGGTGGAGGATCGCCAATACTCGGAAGCAGAATTTTCGGAACCCTCATGTGCAGTCGCCGTGCAGTTGAGGTGGTGCGCCAGGATCCCCTGCGATCTTTAGCCTTTTCTGATCGATTTAGAGCGAAGTCTTTTTCGCCGGTTTTTCTTACTCTCTGACGCTCCGAATTTTCTAGCTAAGACTGTTGAGCGATTTGTTGTTTCGTGGTGTGTGATCTGGAGAAGTATGGCGGGTTGTTGAAAGAGGCAGCAACTCAAGGCAGAATCACTTGGTAACTTTCTGATAGTCACGAAAATGACTCCTGAGTCGAGGAGGTCGAGCAATTCTGGAGAATAAATGTAGTTACCAGTTTCCCTTGATCAGATCCCCCCTAAGTCGTCAAACTTCCCCGCTCGTCCGGATGAGCTCCATCCCGCCGAGCAGTCCATTAATGCCTAAGCTCATTTTGCGGATACGCGGAGCAGAAGAGCGGGCCGAGCTCCCTTAAGTTTCCGCAAGTTCTCAAACATTTCAAGCTCCGAAATCAGGGTGCCCCTTATGCCAAGTGGTGGGTTTCAATGAGTCGATTCCTTGGAGATATACACATAGCAGAGTCAAGCATCGTTTTCCAAATTGGGTTCAAGCTCTGCAAATTTAGTCACCGACTCTCTTTGGCTTCAATTTGTGCCGAACTCCTCCGCCTGACTTTTTCTCCGAAGACACCTCTCGCTAGGGCTCAAAGGAATCTGCGATAGAGATCGAGTTGACGGAACCCATCCACCAAAATCGCGATTCCGAGGACGCATCGTCAGCGAATGTATGTGGCAACGGAGGAAAAACTCTGAGGACCTCCCAAGGCGTCGATTCAGATCAATGGGATCGCTATACGGCATGCTCGAGCCTCTGATTCCTCCTCGACTTGAGGGAGATCACTTGTAGATCATATTTCCTGTACATACGAGTAGACCATCGATAAGCACAGCGATTACGGTTCTCGGGACATGAATGATTTCGGAAATAATTTATTCAGACGGAAAGTCTTCCGGGAGCCGCTGAAATTCCATTCCAAGGTATGGTACGAAAAAAATCCTCGAGAATCGTATTGTATATGTATGATAATCTAAGAGGCCGGCTGAACTCAGCAGCTATTCTCACCACCACCGTATGGAACGTCGAGACCGTCCCATAGTCAGCTGATCGTCGGAACACGTGTTCGATGAGGATGATGCCGAACACGCGGAACCGACAGCCTTTTCGTTGTGTATTTCCTAATGATTGTCCCCATAGATTTATTTTGTAAAGAGGCATAATCCAAGAGTTCGCTCCATTATGGGACGGAGGTTGCAGAGGCGAGTCATCACGAGTGATTGTTTGGATATTCGATGTAGTTCAATCTGATGAGCGCGGAAGGTCTGCGGGCCGAGCCTCAGCCGGGATTTTGCGGTTCTTGTGATTCTTGAACACGCGGGAAAATTGACTTTGAAATGTTGATGAACAATTGCGCAAACGAGGCGTTGCAGAATTTCTGTTGAAGCATTTGAAACCACCTCCGCCATAGAAACTGTCATCCAATAAGCTGTTCTCGTCTCATTGATGGATATTTTCCCTGAGAGATCGAACCTATTTTTGGAAGCATGAGGCGGCGAGAACCACTGACTAATACCTCCAACTCGTGGACTGCAACGATCTGCGGATAATAATCTTCAACTGACGGTTATTTTTCTTCATCTGCAATTTGTTGGATAGAGGAAGTGATTTCAGCTATCGCCGACGAATGAAAAGGGCACACGAACGCTGTAATATATGGAATGAATAAAATGATGAATATGTCGAATGCGAATCCAAACCATAGTTCTCGAATAGGGCCACGTGCGAGCCAGAGACTCACGCGGCTCAAATGCCGAGAGCGAGAATGATGGCGATCTCCGCGCGTCCACCGAAACAGAGCTTCTTGGTCTTGCGACCGATCACCCAGCGAATCTCCTTCACGTCTCTCTTCCGAGAGGCAGAAATTCCTTATTGAGGATTTACATCGAAAGCGGGGAGGAACGAGCTTGCTCTCGAATCTAGAATCTTTCTCGACTTTGCGGATTGTCAGATGACCCATTATTTTTGGATATTCATCCCCGATGTTCGTCTAATGTTCGTGCGAAAGAGAATACAAGCAGCATTTTCTGTCATAGAGCTCACTGGGGGGACGTGCATGCACGTAATCAACTTTTTTCTCCGGATGGGTACCTGCAGTGGCACGACGACAACAGTCGGGGAAAAATCTGCGGTGTGGATCTCATTGTCAGAAGGGGGAGCTTTACATTCTCCTCCGACGCAGCGGCTATGTAGCCAAGAAAGCTTGAATGAGCTAGAAGCTCTGCTCCTTCTCCGAGCTCCTGAGTGCTTCTCGGGAACTCCGGATATCATCCGTGATAAACCCGGTCGATTCTCTATATGCAGGGAGCAGGGTCTGAGCCTTTCTAGTACTTTCGCACTTGCTATCTCGTAGTATACTGATCGCCATAATTCTACCACAGGTTGAAACCAAGTGTTCTGTCGTCTCGCGGGAGGAAAGACAAGGGTCCGCGACCGCAATGATCTCACTGTTTTCAACGAATAATAGACCTTCACTGGATGGAATCGATGGCTGGATCGTTTCCGGCTTTTTTATGCAGATTGAGCGTCTTGGTTTGGCTCGACATCCGTCACGATCTAGGGACCGGAGATTAGAGACATTCCCCGGCATGTATGAGCTCGGCCTTAAGGAATGCATCGGGAAGCAAGGAAATGTCAAAGCTGTCGACGAATCATGCTCTAGAGAAAACTAGTCCGACAGTATTTTCCGTCGGAGTATCTGGATCAGCTGATAGATATTTAGTGTATCCAAAAGCAGTGGTTCTCTTCCAGGATCAGCTCCACTCACGATCGAGACATCGTTTCCTCGTGTCTCCAGCACGAGGAATGAGTTGAGTGTTGGTCTCGTGTGGTTCAAATGCGGTAGGGTTGCGGTGAGGAAGTCAAAGATCGTCACATCAGACAAACCATAGATAGAAACACTCGTTCTCGCATTATTCCGCGAGGGTGAAGCGTCTCTGGAAGAAGACTGCAGTTCCTCCATCATCTTTCGAAGGAAGTCCTTACAGAACGTTTTCGCACAAATATCCACGAAAAGCTTGAAAAGATCTTCGGACAATAGTGCGGTACCGGTCGGAACACAGGCTGAGACGTTCACCCCGAACGCGAATCCTCCGTAACCCATTCGCATGAGAGAATCTATGGAATCCAAAAATTGACTCTCGACGAGCTTTTGAAGGAGCACTGTGCGATTCGTGGGAAACGACTGCAACAAGCGCTCAACTTCGGCGGTCTTGGCGGCTTCCAGACAAGCTGGTAGATCCGGATCGCTCATGTTGCGGACGACGACGTCGAGTTCCCGGTCAGCGGTTCGACCCATGTCGAACGGGGTCAGGATCTCGATGTCTGGGAGCTTCTCCATGCGGAATTTTTCAAAGACACTGATCACAGTTTCGATGTACCGGGGCTCCTCTAGGGCAAAAAGCCGCGGGTCAGGATCGCTCTTGAAAAACTCGGAGTATCTCGAGAAGAGTTGTTCGCCCAGAGTTCTGCTCCGCAGTAGGCCTCTCTGCGTCAATGAGCCGGGCTGCAAAAAGCAAGTTGTCGTAATCATCGATGCTTAGTGTGGGAATAGAACAGGGCGGAAGGATCGAATCTTTGAGCCGAGGAAACTTTCCAAGTCACCTTTGAATCACGTAATTCTGGAATCGGGAGAACAGGGATCCGCTCACCGTGACGGACCAGAATCTGGAGTCGATCGAGCGACCTCTGCTCGCCGCAAAGGGCAGACGGGGCCCGTTCGCTGAACCAGATCGTGAAAAGAATTCCCGCGAGGAACGAGATCGCCATGCTTAGGACTCAAGACACTCGCGGGAAAATGAGTTTCGGGATCGCGAACCTTCAGGGCGGGAGTGGACTGGAAGGAAATGAGAGGAGTTTGCGCAGGGAATCGTCGCAACTTCTCAAAAGAGAAGAAAACCGGACGAATACCGAAAACTAGGGCTTACCCTGTCGAGAGCTCACGTGTTCCTCCTTCCTGGACGCTCCGTCCGTCGAGAGAGAGACTCAAATTCTTCCGCCGGACAAAGCCTCGTGACTTCGCTCAGGATTTGACCAGTAGATGCGCTCTGATCCCGCGGAAGGTCGGCTTCGCCTGTGCGAGAAACGCTTGGGGCAGATTCGGTGGTGTTTCTCTCGAGAGGATTTCCTCATTCAGATACGGAGATAAAAGCAGCGGATGCTTGAATCTATCGATTGTTGCCGCTCTTATCGTTAACGGGACATTTAGTTGCGCCATGGCTTCCGTACCCATTAAAGTGACGTCAAGGCTCCTTCAATCTGACTCATCCGACTCCGACAGGCTTCTCTGTGAAGGCGAGCTTCCATAAACTACCTTGTCGGAGAATCAAAGTCGGTAGCTCTGCGCGACGTCGACCGAGTTTCTTGGTCGCCCTAATTCGCTTTTAGGGAATTCTCTCCCGGAAAGCTTCCATCCGGGATCCCCGTCCGAGAAACAGTCACCGGACCGGCTCCCGAATTCGGATGTATCACCGAGTCAGCTTCACGCGACGTCGGCGTCGCGCCGCCGGATATCATACAGCGATACGGTCTTCGTTCCGAGATCGGATGCGATAGCTATTTTCCAGCGAGACAACCGGTGCGTTCTCGAGTGCCAAACGGTGAATTTCACTCGTTCAGGACTACTCTCCCTTGAATCTGGCACTGGAATGATTCATCTGAAAGCGATCCGTTGGAGACGTCGTCACCGTGGCTACGAGCTCTAGTGGTACACTCGGATGCATGCATGCCGTTACACCGACGGCCGGGATGAACCAAAAACTGAACCGTCAATGGAAGAGTACATGCACTGAGATGGCAGCAGTGAGGCGAGAGTACCTATAAGGCTGAAAAAGAGCGAGATGCTCCCGGGTGATCTATCTCGAACGACATGTCGCGTAAGCTGGAATCCCGGAACTTCGAGATTCGATCAACAGAAGGAGATAATTATCCCTTCGCTAATCTAAGCGGGAGCTCAGCTTAGCCCCGCGCTTTAGAGCGTAGTGGATTCAAACGTCATTTCTCAAATCGATGTTTAGACTGATCTTGGTGAGCTGTTTATATTTGTTCCGATGCCGATAGAACGGGGAAGGGGAGAAGAAAAGTTTTGTGGTCAATGTTGGATCGCCTTTCGGGCGGTGAACCAAAGTCTCACGTCTCGCGTCCTTGTTCAGAGCCTGTAGTTCCCATCCGAGAGCTGACCGACGGCTCTAGACTCGGATAGAGCAACTCTCTCCAGGAACGTCCCTGGGTAAGATTATTCTCCTCAAGTAATGTGCGGAAGTATAATACTTCGACGTCATGCTGAAACATCGAGGGAGTCCAAGGATCCGTGGGTCGGGAGTTTCTACGTTTATGGCAGAGTTCTGCGACATAAGGCCCATGATGTCTACTAACGCTCCTCTTATCTGGAACAGCATCGTGTTCCCGGAGACACGCAACTCGCTAGAGGACGTGAATGTGGCGGTCATATGACGCGAACGATTGAGCTGGGGTTGTGGGAGACAGACTGCGGTGAAGAATTCTGGCGGGTTTCGTCTCTGCTCCAATCTAGGTGAGAAAGGACTCCATTGAATCGTACAGCATTGTCCCGAGAACAAATAATCCGACTCGCTTGAGAGAATTCCTTCAGGGGGAGAGTTCCACACCGTGTTCCAAGGCGAGTATCTTCATTGCAGGTATCAGTAGGATCCCACCAACGCAACGTTCGAATTCGTCATATCGACGCCTTGTTTTTTCGAGAACAGAAAAAAACCTCGACGATGGCTTCGAGTCTCAAGAACAATAACAACAACAACACACTCGTCCCGAGCGTACCTAGAATGTATTCCGAAGTTCTTAGGAATAAACCCGCGATCTACTGGGACTATGAGCAGATGAAACTGAAATACGGGTGAGCGGGACGCGGCCCTCACGAAGCGTGAACCGAGCCGAATGTTTGGTTTGCACTGGACGATATCACAGTGACGATGATTACAAATAGGTATACTTGAACTACGTATTCAGTGGGATAAGTCAAACTTAGCTGAGACGAAGGCCGAACACTGATTCATTGATTCCTGACCCTGGAAGTAACCACGACGACTACGAGCTCGTGCGGAGACTCGGTCGCGGAAAATACTCGGAAGTATTCGGAGCAGTGCACGTGAAGACGGAAGCTGCTTGCGTGATCAAAGTCCTGAAGGCTGTCAAGAAGAAGAAAATCAAACGTGAAGTCAAAATCCTTCAAAACCTCCGCGACGGCCCGAACATCATCAAGTTCTTCGTGAGTCGAATTGATTGGAGCTCTTATCGAGCGTGAAGCGTGGCTTGTTATCGAGAAGAGTTATCGAGATAGGCTCGCATTGATATGTTTTCTCAACTGCAGGAAGTCCTGAAAAACCCCGCAAGTGAATATACGGCCCTAGCAGTGGAGCTCGTCCACTGCGTTGACCATAGAACACTCTATCCCACTTTCGGGACGAGCGATATCCAATATTACATGTTTCGGCTCCTGACAGCCCTCGATTACGCACACTCTCACGGTAATCCCGAAATTCGGAAAAATTATTATTCGGGAAATGAATGCGTCCCTGCTCTCCAATGCGTCGGTAATCAAGGTGACTTTTCCCTCAAGTGAGTTAAGTTCGGCTCCACAGGCATCATGCATCGGGATGTGAAGCCGCACAACGTTATGATTGATCCCAAACGGAAAATTTTGCGTTTAATCGACTGGGGTTTAGCAGAATTTTACCACACGTGCCAGGACTACAACGTCAAAGTCGCATCGCGATACTTCAAAGCACCTGAACTTCTCCTGGATTATGTTTACTATGACTACTCGATTGACATGTGGTCGTTCGGCTGTATGCTGGCCGCGATAATTTTTCGGAGAGAACCCTTCTTCCAAGGCGCCGACAATAACGACCAGCTGGTGAAAATCGTCAAGGTGCTCGGTATACGCAATTTGAGGATCTACGCGAAGAAGTACAATATTCATGTCGATCCGGCTGTTCTGGAATCGGTCGAACGGTGGGTCAATGCAGACGAGGGAGGGAGGTTGACCAAGAGGCTGGACCTCGATTTGATCTTTCGACTTCCTTTCTAGCCGGCAAAAACGTGCTTGGGAAGACTTCGTCACTAAGTCGAACCACGACGTGGCAACGAAAGTCGCCATCGATCTCGTGGATCGCCTGCTCTTGTATGATCATTCTGAAAGGTTCGATCCTCAGCCCTCCTCGAACGCGCGCTTGCGATCAACAAGAACCCTGTGTGGAGCGGCCTGGAGCTTCTTGTTGACACTATCATGTGTTCCTTCCAGGCTCACCGCGAGAGAGGCTCTACAACACGAGTATTTCCTGAACGTACAGCCTCCCTCGCCGGACGAAACGAGCGCGCTCGAAGCTTCAACCTCAAATCCCTGATGACTGCTGCGGGGAGATCATACTGCATCGTGGTTAGGGAGACTGGGGACTCTCAGAGAGTGTTCAGGTTGTAATGACCGAGTAGAATCGAACGATATATCATCTTTTAGGTTTTTCAAAGCTCGTGAAACGATTCGATTCATGGGGGACTACCTAATGTTTGCCAGACTGTGATAATCGGGAATTGCCCGACCCTATCGAAATGTATCCCTATTTTTTTATCGATTCATCCCATGCGCCTTCGTCAAACGAGGAGCCCCGCATTCCAAAGGCGAATGCGTGGTCACGGAGCTCTCATCGCCGGATAATTTGCTCGAATAAAGTCGACGATCCTTTTGAAAGTAGCATGCGAATCGGTCATCTCTCATCTCTCCGCAAACTGAGCCCACTCATATCATCTCACCAGCCGATAACGGGCACCGATGGGATTGTTGTTGTCATGGTATGGCTTCGCAGAACATTCAGTAAATCAGCGCGGCTTCGATGAATTTTTCTTTCGCTGATAAAGTTCAGCATTATCTTAGACACCTTCTCTTGATTGCACTTCGTGAAGGTCCGACGTCGGAGCGTCTTCGGAACTTCCACGAATCTGCGATCCTGAAGGTTCATCTCGGAGCCGGAGCATGGTGGTTGCGGATAATCACCTTCGTAGTGCGACTTGAAGAGGGACATTTTGCCTACGAAATTATATACATATGTATATATGCATTGCTGAAGTCATAGAAGATGTTGAGAGTCCGAAAAGAAGGTCCTCCGTGGGGTAGATTTTCGTCTTTGATATGATTACATGGACCATAGTTCGAGCACCTCGCAGTTACTGCGTACTCACTTCACTTCTTCGTCTGGTAACGACCAACGGAGGTAATTTTGCCAACGTTTTCTATTTTCCAAGGTGAATGGTGAGCTTGAGTGTGGAATTCTCCGCGAGTGTTACAGTCAGAGTGCTTTGAGCGTACTTCTTTCTCCTCGAACGCAGGTTTCCAACGATTCGAAATAGTCAACGGTAAATGTGTTCGGAGTGCCCGCTCATCGCGCGTTAGAACAGAACATTCGGATAGACTTTATTCTTGATGAGATGACTGTTATCTTTGGTCTGATTTCAGTATCGTTTCGGAACTTCGGCATATGCAACAAACCCCACAATCTCCGATAAGATCTGCTGGGCGATCTAGGCGAGCATCTGGTCCATTTTGTCGAGATCTTTTTGGATTTCCGCGGCTTCGATCTGTCTCTCGAGTAACCCTTGCTGCCTCGCCATTTCCCTCTCACGGTCGAGCATTTTGTTGTGGCGATCGATCATCTCCTGACGCGCTGAGATCGCCTTGTAGTCTACCGGATCGAGGAATCGCCCAGCGATATCCTTTAATTCTTGCATATCGTACGAGTTTGCGCCGCTTCCGGGCTGTGCGAATGTCGGACTCAGGTACGTGGGCAAGTGCTGGAACTGGGGCCGGAAACCATAGCCCGGGATGCGGCCACCGAGCCGGGGCATCCGATAGTGGTAGAGGTGGGGTACCCGCACCGCGGGGGAGCCGACACTGGGACCGCGAAACGACATGAGATCAATGGCAGATGGCAGCGTCGAGTATGGCTCGGAATTCGAACGCTTGCCGAGAATTGAGGTGTACTATATCAGTCGACAATGAAGGATGAAAACCGCAAAATTTCGTCATAGACAATGTTTCTCATGCGATTGTTCGGTGAGGCAATTGAAATCCCGCCTCGACTCGTTGCTCTCGAAAGCGCAACGTAAAGTTGACCGTGAGCGAAGATCGGTTCCTGTAAATCGATTCCAACGCGAGAGAACAACTGGCCCTGTGCCTTGTTGATGGTCATACAGAAGCTCAGACGAATCGGAAACTGCCTCTGTCGAAGTCGGAATGGGAGTGTCGCATGAGCGTAGTAACAGTCAATTCTCGGAATTAGAACAGATGACCCTCTGTTATACCCAGTTGCAAAGCTGCAAATCAGTACTCGAGATAAAATCTCCGTAACGATGAATCGCGTACCATTACACAAACCATTTTTCACGTCTAAATTCCTCAACAGCATAACGAAACATCCTCTTTTCAAGTTCAATTCATGGGGCGGAAGGGTTGCCGGCGTCATCTTATTCAGAAACTCTGTAGGGAAATGAGATGCGTCACTCGGGTCCTCCACGATTGCTTCATCCTCGCTTAGGAAAGTCTTCTTCTCGCCCGCTAGTTCGTTCAAGACATAATCATTAATTTTCAATGCCTGAGCATTTTTCGGCGTCAGAATCGTCCGCTCGGCGAAATCTATGCCGTGATTTTCGGCGCCGATGTCACCATAGATAACATCTGCGAGATTTCCTTGGCAGCGCATGTCCTCCGGGATATCCATGTCCGCTGGCAGCATTCCGTCTCCTAGTTTATGGAGCCATTGCCGAAAACTTAAGTCATCGGAGCTCAAACGCATATTCCGAGATAAGCGGACTTGCTGGAAACGTTTCCATAGATCTGAATACTTTAGACATGAGGCCACTATCTGCCCGCGAGATCCTCGCTCGACGACGGGCAAAATTTGACGGAAATCGCCGCCGAGAACTCTGGTCTTACCACCAAAGGGTGCGGTATTCTTCATGATATCTCGCAGCAATAGATCAATGGTTTCAAGAGCAGTCTCGGGAGCCATTGGAGCCTCGTCCCAAATAATGACAACCGTGCTACGTAAAAGCCTGCCTCTTTCGATTGCCCTTTGATGCTGGATGAACGACTATTGTTCGGGACAATCAAACGGAAAGCAGAAGTCACAGTTCGGCCCTCAGGCAGAAGATTGGCGGCGATTCCAGACCATGCGACATTCATCACTTTAAACCCTTTGGATGAGGCTAAGTGGTAAATAGTCGTGTAAACAAACGTTTTTCCACTACCACCTGGACCGTCAACGAAGTAGCATTGTCCTCGTCGATCTGCAATCGCTTTAAGAACTGCATTCGCAATAATTCTTTGCTCTGGATTCAGCTGCTGATATCGTTCAGTCCCGAACGCGCGGTGTTCTTCGAGATTGACGGCTGTCTCGATTTCCTCGAATTGCGGTATATCGAGGGGGAGGGGAGCATAATAATCCCGCCCGAGTTCTGAGAGCCGCTGAACGATATCGTGAAAAGCTTTCGACTCCGCCACTTCGGTCGACATTCCCGCATGTAGGAAGTCTTCCATGAAATTCGGCTAATATTCCTCCCAAAGTTGCACAGTATGCGGTGGTTGTATATCCGCAAAGGCGATCAAGGCAACAAGGAAGCTCCGCAGTTACCGTGGCATGTTCTGAGCGGAAGCTTCTTGAAGAGCGTCTCGGGAATATGAATCGTCTTTCAGATAACCACTCGCTGTCTCGCAGCCTCAACAAAGGAGGAGTAGGTTTGACCGCTCACGGTACGAACATCTTCATAGGAGGTGAAGCCTGTCCCATACAACAGCAACAGGCGCAAAGCGAAGCGCTCGTGATCTTGAGGACTAACGAAGCACATTCGTCCGATGCTAAGATTGCCACCGCGCTTTTTTTTTCGGGCATCTCATGGTACCGGAGTTCCCGAGAGTCGATCAAATCGTCGGGAAAGATTCCGTGTTCCTCCTGCAAATCTCGGCAGCGCCGGTTTTCGCCAGGGTAAGAAAGCTGTCAGGGTAGAAAAGCGATCTCTGGCCGAAATCGAGGCAGCTCCTTCAGTACCCGCTTCGAACCGGACACTTTCGAAACCCAGACCTCCGTAACCGTCGATCACTTCGACTGCTCTGTCCCGGAGTTCCTGAGTAGTAAGGATGTTTGCGGAGGCTCAAGCTAATTATACCCGAAGAACATCGAGCACAGCACACAAGACATTTCCCGATGTATTCCAACCTTACAAATAAGGAGCTTGCTGTAGTGAGTTCGCTTCGCAGAATGGAAGCTATCAGACTAGCGCAGTGTAGATACGGGGGAGATAATATCACAAACGAAGATAAGACTATCCTACGCGTAATGTAATTATTAGAAGCAACAGGAGTTGAGTTTGACACGAAACATTCGATGGAGCGACGTTATATTTTTACTTTCTGCTATCCAGGAGATTCAGTCAGGATTGAAATGCATCTCGGAACTTCGATGCGAGTTCAGAGACCGGAACACCGACAATTAGATATACAGTAAAAGCTCGTTACTACGAACACGAAGGGACCGACGACACTGGTTCGTTGTACCGAGTTTTCGCTGTAACGAATGCCGCTCAACACTTTCCCTATGGCGGGCTGGCCAAAGGAGGAGAAATTCCTTGTTCGTTGTACCGAGGAATTCGTTGTGATGGGGGTCGTTATAACGAGCTTTTACTGTAGCCGGAGTAAGTGACTGAAGAACTCTGAGCTCCCGTCGAGCAAGGAAATCTTCGCCATACCCATCGCGAAGCCATTGCCACGACAGATATTGGATCAGTGGAAGAAAGTTTTTTACGATGAAGACGCAGTGCCCCATCCGATTGAGCGAATCCATCGTAAGGAATCCTCTGCTGCCGACTCGAGAGAGAACCGAGTTGTCGTCGGAGATCGTCGACGGTGGACATCGCCCACCTGAGTCGCGACAAGCGCTATAGTAATTGAGGTTAGAGTCACTCAACTCATGATGGGTCACGGAAGAGCTTGAGTAAAGCTTCTATTGGCGCCCGGAGAAGCATTCGTTTGAGCCGATGGCGCACAGCCGATCGGAATGCTTAAGGATGAAGATAAGAATCGCAATATACCTGTATCACATACTATCGGTGAGATAGAGATCATCGCGGAGAAGACGTGGTTTCTGTTACATCATCAAGATTATGATTAAGTAAGTTATGTATATTTTGTTGTTGCAGTCGTTCGCTAGGAGCAGAACCGCAATTGAACGACAGACATTATGATTGCCGTTGTTGAGACGATCTAAGACGATTGATAACACTCACAATGCGACCACCGATGTAGGAAGGACGAACACTGAGAAACAAGACAAGCAATAACACCGCACAACTCGGAATATCAAGTCAGAAAGTACTCGAAATAGAACGGTCATCTGAAAGGGTTTCATTCATTGGAAGCTCGGGTAGAGATTCCGTCTCTGAGCAGGATCATTCAGAGAGCCAGACTTCGAGGTTCGAGACATCAGCGGACGAGCATTGCTTACGAGTAAGGACTCGATCAGCATCCATCGCATGAAGAACGATGCACACAAGATGGCATCGGAGATCGAACCCCTTCCTGACGAGTAAAAACTGCGAGCACTCCGCTTGCGTTTCGAAGAGTTCGTGTTCGGTCCTTGAGAAGAAAATCAGGGAAGGGGCTTA